CGAGTTTTACATAGGAGAAACATCAAGGCCACTACACAAGAGAATGGAGGAGCATTTAAAGGCAATTCCCGCGACCACACTTCATAGGTGATACAGTTCAAAAAAGAATTGCCGTGTGCTTGTTGACTTACTCAAGAAGAGGGAAGCTCGAAAACCGCCCGCAATAAGACCCTCTTTATTGCTATTGTCGTGATCACCGGACGAGCATAAGATGATCAAGATCAATTGTGGTCTGCAAAAGGCGACGATACAGTGACTGGAGAGGAGAGGGACCAGAAAACGGCCGGTGAGAGAGCACAGTGGCATCTTCACTATGACACGTTCGACGCAGGCCGGCATGGGCCTATTGGGTGCCAATGGGCCTAAAATCGATGCGTTTTGCTTTCTGGTTGCTAGTTTTCGACTTTTTTGTACAGTACAGCCTCTGCGGGTGCCTACCTGTTCACCCTGCACAATCCAGAGGTTTTAGCCTTAATTTATCGCGAACCGTGCCTTTAAGAGCTTTGCGGGACCCACAGAGCTACCCAGAGAACCCATTCTCGAGACACCGCACACTAAGGCACGCTCAAGAAAGACCGCCGGAACTTCGCATCTCCATGGTGGATCCAGTTGAAAGGAAGATCAGGGAAGCAATGGAAATAAAGCAACAAGAACCACCCATCAACAGCAAGGAGATGAAAGTGGCAATGGGATTGATATCAATATAAGACGTGCACAATGGAGACATACGTGACTAATTCTAGATCACCCCTGTCCCGCACCCTTATAAATAGTCCCATTCCTACCACTTTTATTTCTATCTATACTGCCAAGTAGAGAGGCTTGACGGAGTTTGTGCTCCTTCTCCCTTCTACACAGTGTGGGTTGTTGCTATGTTCACTCTATTAGTGCTGTAACATTGTAAGGGCAAATGCTGTGATTTAAGATCGAGTGACCTGAAGAAGTGACGTGACGCTCCGGGCTTATGCCCGGAACGTTGTCACGTAATAAAGATTCATTGAAAAGAAG